CGAGTCACGGACGCACGCACGCATGCATGCGTTGCGTGCCGATCTGAGCAGTATCGATAGCGTACCGGGCTTGTACATCGGCGCCTGTCCGCGTTTCGATCGATATCCGGTGTTTGAGGGAGAGGGAGCGATTACCTTGAAGCAGCTTTTGTGGTTTCGCGGTAATACTCTATCTCAATAGGATCGATAGGGAATAATCGCACGGAATGACATCGATTTAGGAGGAGATTGACACTAATGAACCCGCGTAGGCGAACCTGCGCGTTTCTCTTCGCAAACAGCGTATTCTATACTTCCGAGTTTTGTGCTTCCTCTTAGCGTCTCAATTTGAGGCATCGCGTGTTAATCCTCGGCAAACAGTACTTGTCCGATGTTTTCATTTTGACAAAATTGTTAATGAAGCCGCGTCATCAAATAAAGAGTTTGCCCCCATTATAGAATTATAATTTGACATTATGTTTTTAGCTTACGGTTATTCAACTCGCGGGCTCATTAATATAATTTTCTTCAAAGTGTGATTTTGTTAATAAACATTTAAAGTCCATCTACAATTATTAAAGGATGTATACACACTGAGAAAAATCGTTTGATTGTACCAACAAGACGTATATGATTGAAGGCATTTTGGTTAAATCAAACAAGAATTTCTAATGATAAGATTTTTTATAACTAGAACGTTTAATAGATTTTACTATAAGGATTTGGTTACTATTTTCTGGTTGAATTTATAAAATTTCTTGTTGCATTAACTTCTTTGCTTGCCACTAGGCGGCGAGCCACTCTTAACTTCACTCGTATTAAATATTTGTCATGAAATGTATATAAAGAACTAGTATTAACATTAAATCCAAAGTATATTTTTTTTCTCTTACGAGCAGTAGTGCCAGAAAGAGGAGCTCTCTTGCACGCTAGCTCTCTGATTGTGTGTGTTTGAGCTGCATCCTCTTCTTGCATCACTGTTTAATTTCTACTGAATTTCAAATAATTTATTCAATAATCTTGATTGAATTTATGCAATAATCGTGTTGGAATTCAGAACATTAAACAGATTTGAGATTGAAAAAATTGTAGACGACTTGATGCTGGTGAGTTTGACCTATTATTAACCAGAAAATTTGGTAAATTCAACAGAAAGAAATTAATCAGATTCATCTGGTAATTTCTACAAGAATTCTGGTTCGTCCATTTTCCAACAGACATACTGGTTGAATCTACCAGAATTCTAATTAATGCAACCAGATTTTTTTCTCAGTGCATTAATATAATTTTCTTCAAAGTGTGATTTTGTTAATAAATATTTAAAATGTCCATCTACAATTATTAAAAGAATATATGCATGTGTGTGTATTATATAAAAATTACACACATTGATATGAAAATTGATAGCGCAATTTATTTTCTCTTTTACGTCTCCTCGATCACGATCGATCGAGGCTCACGGTTTCCACATCGCGGTACTTGCATACGTCGAGAGGAGCACGAGGAGAAAAGGACGGTTAGATCTAACTGTATAACCGAGGCCTACTTTCCGAGCTTCCTATACGACTAGATACGTACATACACGCACATTATCGATGCACGCACTTGCGCGCACACGCACATTCATGAACCCTCGATAGTTGCTCAACGCGTTTCTTCTTGACGTTACGATTTAGCGTTTCTTTCCTCAAGTCTCGTCCTTGAACCCTTCCCACTCGTCGAGCTTCCTTTGCCCTTTCGAGAAGAATTTTATGGTTTCTTATCTTACGGTTTCTCAGCACGATATTCAAGGACGGAATCAAACATGTAGGCGTCAATCCTTGGAAACAAGTACATATAAAAAAAAAAAAATATATATATATATATATATATATATATATACATACACGTGTCTTTCGATCTATTCTATGATGTATAGAAAGGGAGTGCAAGAAATTGTTCAAAATCATTGAAATAAATTGAGTTGTTCTTCGGTCGATGAATCTCGATGAAACTTATCATCGATCTCTCTCCAGCTTCGGCAGCGAACGCAGTTTTCGTAAATCAGGACACGCGCGACGTGCGCGAGGTGAAAGCGTTAGATGCGAGGATTGAATAACGGCTTGTCGACATAGCGGGGATAGCACGCCGGGTCGATTGCACACACGGTGGAATTAATATCGACGATGATAAAAACAAGAGGAGAGTTTCGGAAGTGCCAGCCCGAAGAGCAGAGGCCGAGAGTTATCGCGAATCGATATCAATTTGAACTTTAACTTTTGTTCGATTTCATCAGACTTTGATCGTTTTCAACCATCTGCCGAGAAAAATATTTCCTCTAACGAGGAAAGTAAATAGCTATAATCTACAAATATCAAAAACGAGATGTTTTCCTCGCGAATATTAATTTGGAACATATTTAACAATCTTTTAACAAACGCTCAAATTTTTGCAATAAAAAGTAACGACGAAAGATTATATATACTATTTGACTGGCCTTCCAAGTTCGTATATTTGTGGTATAACTGCAAAAGATAATCCCGTACTATCGTTTTTATGCGGTATACTTATCCGATTTGTATGACAGTGATAAATAATCATGTGTTTACTCGACGTAATATTTCGTCTGATGTTTTGTCGATTATATACTGCACGTGGAGATTTAAGTTTATCCTTATCAATTAAGTTGGATGGAATCTAACGATGACATGTAAAGAACGATATTAAAAAAGACCGATAGCATTTTTATTAGCATGACCTTCTAGCGCATTATAATCTTAGAAAATAGTAATGAAAAACTTCTAAAGGCTCATGTGAAAAATCCAGAAATATTTTCATAACTAGAAATGTCACGCATTTCAAACTTTTTGTTACTTTCATTCTTGACACGAATAACATAGTCATCGTAATTGCATTGAAAGATTCGAGGATAATCGGAGTTTCGACAAGCTGGCGACGCTACTCCATCAATCTAAATAATCACGAAGACCGTTAGAAGAAAAAAAAAGACTCGAACGACAAGTGGCGAGACAAATAGTCAATTAACTTGACCAATTCTATGATGGATCTCGTATTCATTTTGTGGATCTTGCCCTTATACGCTGCATTCTTAACGAAACATTTTAAACAATTTTTAAATAAATAAATAAATATATACGTTGTATCATCTTATGTTAATTAATCACAAAAAAACGGAGTAGGAGCGTTACCGAAAATTGCACAAGTTAGCGTCGTTATCACGTCGCACTTGCACTGATAAATCCTTGTAATTGTATCCTTGATTGTGAATTTTATTGACATGAATTTTATTGACGAAACTCTGGATATGTGATTAATAGATATATAAGAATCAATATACGCATCGCGTTGTTAGATTACAATTATGCATGTTTATTCTCGTACCTTGGACTGACGAAAACAATTTTTTTTCGCTCCACAATCACTATTTATTCTTTAACCCTCTCGCGATAACACTCTTGTTTTTCAAACACACGAAAAACCGATCGCGAATTCGCTCAGCGAATTATTTTCGCACGATCGAAATCCTACAACGAGCGCGTTGCACCGCTGCTCGATGCGAACTGCGGTTTCGCGCTGACGACCCATAAGAGTCGGCCGCTGCATTCGCCGCGTCGGTGGGGAAGACGTCACACACGGCAATTTCCGTGTGTGCGAATGTGCATGGCACGTATATTTGTGTGCGTATATGTGCACGCTGCATTCGGATGCCGCGCCCCGCCGAGATTCGCGCCGTGCATACCAGCTGATTCTCGATTGGCCGGCCACCGGGGGTAGGGGGCCGTTCCAATCGTCCACCCCGTGCACTTCTCTACCTATGCAGCCACCAATTCGTACCGCTCGCCGGCAAAGTGGTAGCGGTGCGAATGCAACGCGGCCTGGCCGGCCCTTTCGCGCAAGGAGTCACGGCTCGCGTCTGGTCGGACGCGATTCGCGAAATTAACCGAACGAGATTTTTAATCAACGGTATTTTTATCACGCGCTGCATCAATCGCTTAAACGAGTATTTCATTTTTGCGCTATATATTTGATTAATTGACTGCTTTATCGCTCTTGCAATTATATTTTCCACAACGTTCACGCGCAATCATATTTCCTACATTTTATTTCTATAGATTTTTTTTTATCAATTATTTATTATATAAATATTCTAAATTTTTATCAACTATTTATCACATAAAATATTCTGAATTTATAAAATTTCTAGTTAAAATTCTGTTAGAAAGAGAAAGAGAGAGAGAGAGATCGTTCAATAATCATTACGGCGGCCCGTTAGAAGACGAGTCAAGATTGTCGTCTGACTCTCAAGCAGATATATAAGAGAAGAGTCAATTTGCAATATTATGACGCAAGAACTCATCGTCACATTTGATTGCCGTTTGTGTAACGCGCGGCATTTACATTGAAAAATAATCGAGTATCGAATTAATTTACATCATCGCGTTAAATTAACGGCCGTCCATTACGTGTTTAATGCCGTATTAATTGCAATGCGTCAACACAGCCTATCCGGCGTTCGAACAAATAACGGTGAAGAGCCTTCAGATGTTTACCGGCATTTGAAACATTACATTAGTGTCGAAAAAGTGAAAGTCCGACAACCGTGTCCTCTCTATGCACGAGATTCTCGTTCAAAGATTCGATTTGATATATTGATAAATGCAATGCATGCGACATCTCTGGAATATTACGAACGCACGTGTCAATAGAGAGACGCGCTTCTTTTTTTTATTTGTGCATTCAAGCATCGGCCTTCTACCTACATAAGCGAGAGCAAGGAGTCAAGGCCTTCGAATAGTCAGCCGAATCCTTTGAGTTCTGCTTTTATTTCGATTATCGCGTCACGCTTAAATCTAATTATTTTCTTTGAAATATTCGACCATCGTTCGCCCACGCAATGCGTTTTCGAATCATATTTTAAAGGATTATTTCGACGAGAAGTCCATTTGTAATGCCGCAAGGAGATACGGATAAATCCTACGTATAAAGAGAAGGATATATGTTGGAGTATTTAAGGAACTTACCCTCGCAGAAGAGGGTGACGTCGGTGAGACTCTCGCTTTTGAATAAGTTTGAGAACGTCGTTGCTAGGTTGCTGCCGAAACTGTTCCACTTGAGGCAGAACTGCTGCTGATGAGAGTCCATGATGCCACCCTTAGACTCAACTCCGTGACCTTCACCGCCCCTCTCGCAGCCACCTTCCAATGGGTATTTACCTTCTTGATCGCGTTCGTGCCCAATTGCTCGTCCAGCTACGCAGAAAGCAGTCCCAATTATCGACCGATCTTTCTTTCTCTTTCGCCATAAGCAAAAAAAATAAATGTACGATTGATTGTTAAAAGGTATAAATTAAAGGAGATATATTGAAGAAACCTAACTGAATAAAAATCACAAAGGTATGAATAAAAGAGTTTCAAAAATTGATGTAAACACGGAGGAAATAATTCGTATAAATCATCTCGCATCAAAAAATGCATATCTCTGCGAAAGAATTTTTCCAATAAACAGACTATTATTTGGCATTGCATGCACTATCATGTTAGTAGTACTATATCGAGATTGGTCTCCGTGAATGAAAGACGAAATATCAGATCGCGCACTGTCAGTCCAGCCTGAAATGTTGAATGTTGATAACCTCGAGATACGGAGATACCTCGTAAACGCAACATACCTCTTTCGATTCACTGGCTGCGCGAGTGTGTATTTGTTTATCGTGACGGACAAACTTATCGGACACGCGCGACCGATGTTTCACGCGTCAGGGACCGATCGTTCGATCGAGAAATCGAGCGCGGATTATAATTCCAGTCCCAAGTCGCAAGATGTACTCGTGAGTCACGAACCGCGAGCACCCGAAGCCGGCTGCGCCATGTCAAAATTCCACCGCATTTCCGCGACGCCCGCGATAAAAGCGCCAAACGAGAGAAGAGGAGAGATCTTACCGGTGTCAGGGGCGTGTCAAGGCGGGTGCGCGATCGCTTCGATTTCATTCAATTTCGACAAATTTCGACAATTTTTAATGACAGCCGATGTTGACGATACACTCTGGAATACGCCCTCGCGTCCCTGTTTCGCGACCCGCGAATACCAGCACTGGATGACAGGACGAAAAAAAAAAGAGAAAAGCTACCGAGTTCGGCACCGCACGCACGTGTCCTCCGCGCGGCGCATGATCCGCGATGTGTATATCCTATCCACACCGCGCGCGTGTACCGCCGAGAGGAATACCCGATCGGGGACTCGCCCGAGCTTGGCACGAACGGGTGTCCCGGTAAGACCGAGCGAGAAAGCAGAATTTCGAGTACTCCGTCCGAAACGCACACCGGTCGCACGAGCACTGGATAGACGACTGACTGAGACTATACGCACTTGCCGGCCGAAATCGAATCACCACCGGCTTGCATCGCGCATTGGCACATGAACGAATCGCGCGTGACTGTCGTCGTTTGCGGTGCCGGCGAGTCCGGGTCCGGGGGCGGGGGGGGGGGTCCGTCGCGGGAGCCGAAAAATCGCGCGGGTGCGAGCGAGAGGGAACCAGGAGGTAGCGCGGCATCGCGAGCGGCGGCGAGGGGGGGGGGCAGGAAGCTAACCGCCCGAGAGGGAGACAGGGAGAGCAGAGGGACGGGGGCGGGGGAGGATCGAGGGACCGCCGTCATCGTCGCTAGTGTATATCGCCGAGAAAGAGCGTGAATATGGGTCATCGGTGGCGATGCAAATGCGGTTACGCGGAACGCGGCGTGTGTGCGCGCGTATGCTTATGTATGCGTGCGTGCGGGGGGGGCAGGGGGAGGGAGAATTTCGGCGTTCCCGGCACACGGTGGTGGCGGCAACTCGGAATCACCGGGAGAAGGGGACCCGAGTGGGTGGCCGGGGAGGGATAGGGCCGGGGACCGGGGGATCGACGATTCGGCGGCTTCTTTTTCTTCGGAGGGGTAGGGATCGGCGGGGCGATCGTTCGAGGCTAGAAGTTTCGGCTCTCGCGCGATCCTCCGCAGCGCTTCCTCCTCCTATGTATTTTTTTTTTGCGCTTCTCCGGCCTGGAGAACTCTCTCTCTCTCCCTCGCGCGCTCGCCTCGACGTTCTCTCTCTCGACGTCCCGTCTCATTTTCGAGTATTATCCCTTCCCCCTCTTGCCCTACGGCTACGTTTCACTTGGCGATTGCAATGCTCGCGGGTATCGTCCATCTCCGTTAAACCTTCAACGATGAGCAACAAGGATGAAACGATCTCATGAGCGTCGCTATCGCCGAGTAGCGTAGCCTAGAGTATCGCGTATCCTTTCTCATCCAACGTATCCCAGGGCCGTATCGCGAGCTCGATGCGTTCTGTAAGAAAGCACGAGTCGCGTAACGGAAGAAGAAAATCCTCGGAGCGTGCAGCGCGGCATTACCCGGTTCGATAAAACCCAGCATGCCCATCTCGCCGCGAAATTATCCTTGGACAGGCAGGTCCGATACATACATCGCGTGCTCGGGTAAAAAAAAAATTGGGATAAAAAAAGAAATCAGCGGCGACGGTGCGATCGATGCCCATCGCTAGGAACCGCCGCGCGGCACGAAAAGCAAAGACGGAGGGGAATTTAGGCGTTGGAGGCGCCTCGAGTTGCGTGGCCCGGAACCGCGTAAAAGGAGAGAGAGAAAGAGAGAGAGAGAGAGAGAGAGGATTGACACGGGGGGGAAAGCGGGGCAGGAAAGAAGAAGGGAGATATACGCATCGCGGCCAAGGGGTGGGGACCGCGGGCACTCGTGGTGGCAAAACGCACCGATCGGTGGAGGGGCCAGGAGGTCCGAGAGGGAGGCTCAAGGTCGCCGCGGGGCCGCACGCGCGTTACAACTACGCGCATACGCGACACACGCGTATTCTGCGCACGCACACGGACACGCACGACGCTGCACAACACGGTCGTGTGCACAGAAGCGCACGCGCGCGCTGCAGCGTAGATCGCGGGCGTGCGTGGTGCGCGTGTGTGCGCGTGTGCATGCGTGTGAGCGATGCGCGCGCGTCCGCCGGCGTCGTAATTCGGCGCTCTTATGGCGGCGGTATTATGTCATCGCATTTTTGCGCCGGAAAAACAGAGCCTCCTCTCAATCGGGCTTCTCGAAAATATATACAGGGTGGGATATTAACTCTTCTGTTTTCATGCTATTCCGAGAATCGTCTCGTTACGGTGGACGCGCATCGTGCGACGCCGCGTTTCTCCTCCTTCACGTGCATGGCATCTGTACCGTGTACGAGTTTTCGCGGAGAGATGTAAGAAAAATCGACGCAGGTATACGAAAATAGACGCTACTTCGATCCTACGCGCGGAATGCGGAGCCCGAGCTTCCGCGATCGCGCAAAAACTCGATGTATATATTCCGATATGACAACGGCTTATGCGGTCGAGTAATAACGAGCGAATCTCCAGCCTTCCGCGATTCCGCGGAAGGAAAAATTGACGAACTCGACGAAATGAAAAAATAAGGAAAGAAAGAGCGACGTGCGGTCTTTGAACAACATTGTCATGTGGAGATAGCTGAATATGGGCGACGGTATTGTGCCTTGTACGAGGGCGAGCAACGGCGAGTATATGGAAAAGGATGGTTGTCGAGATGTCGAGTTAACGTGAGGGGTGGTCGGCAGGAGAGAGGGAGGGAAACCACGTCTATGAAAAGCGCGTATCGTGAGTCGACGAGAAAAATAAGAACGGCGCCTGACACGATGTCATTTTTCGCGAGGCGGCTTTTAGCGCGGTTGTCTTTGTTGCCTTCGTGCTAAAAGAGAATGCCGTTGTCGAAGGAAACCGTATTAATGCGTTTCGACGAGTAACGGACTTGGATTCGATTCGACAGGCCGCTTACAAGCAACGCACTTGATACGCTCGATGCTCTTTAAGAACGCGCTAGCGCTTCTACAGGAAATATCACCGTTATTATAAACATATTCATGTACGAAAGAACAAATATCAGTGATAATATAATCGTAAAGATTAGACAAGGGCTTCTAGTAGGTTTTTTTATTGCCATGATTGCGCTTGGAACGTTAAATTGCAACGATATTACTTCGCGTGCATTTTTAATCGCTTATCTATCCAGTCAAATGAAATTGATGATAAACATGGCTTACACATCGAGGAATGTAAATAAGAGGAAGACATTATCTCGCAAACAATTTAAAATTAACTTTTGCTTTTGAAAATACGAATTTTGCAGAGAAACTGCTTTTTAAGAAAATAATCGATTTGCGTCCACTAGGGTCAACATAATATCCTGCCTCCGAGACAAAGAGACAAATCAGAAAAAAGATATCTACATGAATCCCGACAATAATTATCTGGAGGGTGATCTCAAAGAGTTAGTTGTTCTGATGAAAATGCCAAGGTGAGAAGCGTAAATATGTTTGACAGCGATAACAAAACATTCACGATCCAGGGAAGACAGGGGGAACAGGAGAAGAGAGATATGTATATTTTCTGTTTCAAGAGCAAAAGATAGCTCGCACAGATCAAGACGATCCGCTCTCATTTTATTTCATTACGTATTTCTAAAATAAAGAAAGGATTGTTTTTGGAGATTGCATGAATCAAATTATTACATTTGTTATTTTAGAAAAAAAAACCTACAAGTCGTACACTTTTTACATGTATATTATCCATCTTTGAAAGGTTACGTTTTCGAAATTTGTGTGCGTGTGTGTAATGTATATAGATAATGTCACATTGCTAATCCGAAGTGATGCGTGGAGGAAGTTAATTTAGAGGTCAATGTCTCCGAGAGACTAGTTTAGATAACAGGTTGCCGGTTCGGTAATGAAATACGTTTCAAAACGAAAGAGCCGGCCGCGAAAGAGAAAAAGCTTTCATCGACGAAAGTAAAGCGACGCAAATGTTTTTCTCGCGAATCGTCGCCATCGTGAATCAATCAAGCGCGATGATGTAAGCGCATTTTTGCCGGTGACAAATAATCGAGGATATGACGTTAGTGTTGACAAAGTTTCACGGACAGTTTCTGCATGCAGTTTTGCAACTTTTTATCTCCCGAAACCTTATCTCTCGCGCCATAAAACATCAACAAAATTCGCGTTCGCGCTAAAAGTTGTACGTCACATTAGATATTTGTATATTCCGATCATTTATCGGCGAATAATCGAACGGAAACGCGGTTTCGATGTAAATAAAAAAAAAGAGAAAAGGCCTTCACCGTGATTAGATTCTCATAAATCCCCGATGCAACGTATGTCCAAGGATGTTTCCTTTGCGATGATCATGCTCGCGGTATCGTCCTCCGAGAAGGAAAATAGCACATGAAAGCGTACCGAATCACCGTGTCTCACTCGCGATTGACAGAGTGAATAGAGGAGTGCAATAACCGCGGTTACCCTCCGGTTACAATCAACTTTGCCACAATCAACGTAGAGTTCATGCCGCGGATGTGCAATCAATGTCAATCATCTCGGGGGAATATTGTCCTTCGTCACTTGGAGCGATGGAGCGAGAAGCGCGAGAGAGTGTGAATGACGCCGAAAAACGCCCAGCGCGAAGCACGATCTGAATTGGACTGTTCTACGGGTTATAGTCGGCTCGTTCGACTTCCCCTCTCTCGCTCTTTCTTTCGCGGGTTCCTGCCTCCTCCTCTCCCGCGCCCGGCGGCCCTACGTTTTGGGCCGACACTTAATAGTATGCCCCTACTAGCGGACTTGGTCAACCACACACGAGCGACCGCGATGTCCGCGATGCACATCGCTCCTCGATCCGGAGGTAGAAACGAGCTTCCGGAATGCGATCCCGTTCGCTTCTCGGGATCCTCGCTTTTCGATTTCATCATTATGCTCGTAATAAATACATATACCGAAAGTTGGAGCGGAATTACAAGAAATTTAAAGACTTTACATTCCGAGATCCTTCCACAAAGAATCGCGTTCTATCGCCCTGAGAAAAATCGTTTGATCGTACCAACAAGATGTATATGATTGAAGGCATTTTGGTTAAATCAAACAAGAATTTCTAGTTATCATGATAAGACTCGATTTTTTATAATTAGAATGTTTAATAAATTTTATTATAAGGATTTGATTAATATTTTCTGGTTGGGTCTATAAAATTTTTTGTTACATTAATTTCTTTGCTTGTTAGGCGGCGAGCCACTCTTAATTTAACTCGTATTCTTAATTTAACTTATATTCTATTTTAATCGTATTCAAAATTTGCCATAAAATGTATATAAAGAACTTTAACATAACTTTAACACAAAGAAGTATTAAATCCAAGGTATATTTTTTTTCTCTTACTGAGCAGTAGTGCCAGAAAGAGGACGCTAGCTCTCTGATTGTGTGTGTTTGAGCTGCATCCTCTTCTTGCATCACTGTTTATCAG